CACGGGCAAGCTGCAGGAATCCATGCCGGACCCCGAGCTCATCGGTGCGTGCCCCGCCGCAGCCTGGCGCCGTCCCGCCGCTTGGGGACACCCTCGGCCCGTCCTCGCCGCGGCCGGGACGCGACATCCTGCTGCTGGTGGTGGGAGGGCTCGGTGTTCGTTCCCTGTTTCCTTGGGATCGCGGCGCTCCAGCCGCGGCAGTGCCCTTGTTCGGGAATATTTGGGCTTTCCACCAGCTGTGTGTCCTTGTGAGAGCTCTCATGAGAGCTGAGAGGGAGGTCAGCTCTTACGCAGGAGGTGATTCTGCCAGCTCCTCTAGATCAGCTCCATGATTTCCCTCCTGGTTCTCAGCTCCACAGCTTCCCTGTGTTGTTCCCTAGCCAGTTGGAGCAGCTACAGCTGCTCAGTAACCCCTTGAGCTCTAAGGCACACTGGAGACCCCCAGCTGGTTCTGAGAGCACCACAGGTTTATCTTCAGGTGTTTCTCCCCCCAGACCTGATCTACTGTGGCCGGAAGCTGAGGGATGACCAGACCCTGGATTTTTATGGAATCCAGTCTGGCTCCACTGTCCATGTCCTGCGCAAGTCCTGGCCTGAGCCTGACCAGAAACCAGGTGAGGAGCTGTGGGGATTGCCCCTTGCATTCTCCTTGGGATGTGCTTTATTAGGGACTGAGGAACAGCTTCTCTAGGGATTCACTGCTGTGGAGGTTTCCAGGGGAATGAATCCCCGTGTTTGGGAACTCCCCACCTCTCCCAGCAGCACCTGGGTGTTGGTTTTCCTGCTGACACAAGAGTTAAGGAATGAGCTGTGCAGCATGGAGAGGGATCATCCCTTCCTTAATTGCCTGTGATCCATTCTAGGGCATTGCCAGGGGATCTGGAGCAAAGCCCCAGGGATGAGCAGGCTGCTGTGTGCCTGACTGTACAAAAAGAGGAGCTTGAGCTGGCATTCCTGTAATGGCACATGTGGGAGGATATTCCCGACTATTTTTATGATCTGAGAGTGCAGCAAGTCATTACTCTGCAGTGCCTGTACCCAATCCAAGGATGTTAGAGGATCTCTGTTGCAGCATGGATGTCTCAGTGGGCTGTGGAATGGCTTTGAGGGCTGACAAAGGCCCAGCTGTGTTTTGTTGTGGTGTTTTTTCCCCTCAGAGCCCGTGGATAAGGTGGCAGCAGTCCGGGAATTCCGTGTGCTGCACACTGCCCTGCACAGCAGCCCTGCCTACAGAGATGCTGTGAGTGCTCTGCTCCTGGGGGAGTTCAGCTGTCCCCTCCCTCTGGGGGCAGTCCTACAGTGGGGGACATTCCCAACCTGCTCTGCATTCCCTGGCAGGTCTTCAAGATGCTGGGAAACAAGGAATCCCTGGATCAGATCATTGTGGCTACTCCTGGCCTCAGCAGCGACCCCGTGGCTCTGGGTGAGTCTGGCTGTGGTCCAGAGGATCTGAGGAAAGGTTGGATTCCTGATGGGGGGAAGGGACAGATACAAATCTACACTGAATTCCTGAAAGGGAGAAGAGAGAGTTAAAAAAAAAAACTTCATTTTTTGTCCCTTTGTGGAGCATGAGTCAGTGACTGCTGAGGTGTCAGTTGTGCTCCATGGGTGGTTTGGGGATGGATCCTGGTTTTAGAAAGGTCAAGGAAAGAAGGGATGGAGCTCTCTCCTTGGGGATGGATCCTGGCTTCAAAAGGATCAGTGAAAGGAGGGTGGAGCTCTCTCCTTGGCTTCAGAAAGGTCAGGGAAAGGAGAAATGGAGCTTTCTCCTTACGGATGGATGCTGGCTTCAGAAGGGTCAGGGAGAGGAGAGATGGAGCTCTCTCCCTGCTGCAAAGTTCTCCAAAGTGGTTGATTTAATCCAGCCTGTTTTGGGATGGTGGCAGCCTGAGGCAGGTGGAATTTGGGATACTACAGAATGGTTGATTTAATCCAGCCTGTTCTGGGATAGTGGCAGCCCGAGGCAGGTGGAATTTGGGATGCAGTCACAGCCTGGCCGCAGGGAGCTGGGGCCCAGCTTCCATCCTGCCCTTGAGGTGGGGCACCCACGGATCTGCAGGGAAAGCCCCGTCCCTTTTGTCCCTTGGGTGTGTGGCTGTGACCCCACAGAGCCTCTCCAGGAACACAAAGGCTTCAGAGGAACAATGGGAGTATTTGTGGTGTTTACTCATGACTCACTTCCTGGAAAACAATTCCTATTTATTTGTCCCTGTGGCTTTTATGTGACTGGCTCCTGTTTGTTGTATCCTGTCTCACTGTGTTTCCTGGTCTTTTCCAGGAGTTCTGCAGGACAAGGATCTGTTCTCTGTGTTTGCAGACCCCAACATGTTGGACACGTAAGTTCCTCAAGCTGGGGCAGTGATTCAGCAGTGCCTTTGTGTCCCTGTGTGTCACCTGGGTGGGACAGAGCTCTGCTCCTGCCTGCCAGGCTGGGTCATTCCTCTCTCAGGAAACAGGGATCCACCGCTTGGGTTAATCCAGAGGGTGTTTGGTGGGAGGCAGGGCCATCATCACCTCCAGATCAGGGTTCAGGCCTGGATGAACTGCTCACAGCAGAGAGCTGCTCCCATGAGAAACTTGGAGAAGTCAGCACGGGTCCAGAAGGATCCTTGGAGAACCAAGGGAAGGTCCACCATGGGATCCAGAAGGATCCTTGGAGAACTGAGGAAAGGTCCAGTGTGGGTCCAGAAGAATCCTTGGTGAACCAAGGCAAGGTCAGGTCCAGAAGGATTCTTGGAGAACTGAGACAAGGTCCAGCGTGGATCCAGAAGGATCCAAGGCCAGGTCCAGCGTGGATCCAGAAGGATCCAAGGCCAGGTCAAACATAGATCTGTAAGGACCCTTGGTGATCCAAGGCCAGGTCCAGCATGGATCCAGAAGGATCTGAGGGCAGGTCCGTTGTGGATCCAGAAGGATCCAAGGCCAGGTCAAACATAGATCTGTAAGGACCCTTAGTGATCCGAGGGCAGGTCCAGTGTGGATCCAGAGGGATCCGAGGGCAGGTCCAGCATGGATCCAGAAGAATCCTTGGTGAACCAAGGGCAGGTCCAGCATGGATCCAAAAGGATCTGAGGGCAGGTCCAGTGTGGATCCAGAAGAATCCAAGGGCAGGTCCAGCATGCATCCAGAAGGATCCCTGGCTGCCTGGAGGAGTTTGTGCCGGGCAGCAGAGGTGGCGGTGGCTGTGCCCCGGGTGCCTCAGGGCTGGTTCCTCGTTGCCCTGTGCCCTCCTGCAGCTGTGCCCGTTTGTGCCCAGGCTGATCCCGGCTCACCCTGCCCTGGTGAACGCCATCGTGCTGGTGCTGCACTCGGTGGCGGGCAGCACCCCGCTGCCAGCCCCGGACACGTCCTCGCGCGCCATGGCCTTGGGCTCCTACCGGGACATGCCAGGTACGTCCACCTGGAAGGGGAACTCGCTGCTGAGCCTGTCCTGGCTGCTCAGCCAAAAACTCCACAGGGATGTGCTCCCAATTCCTGCTGGTTTGCCACATCCATTTATTCCCCTTTCTGGTGCAGGTGGCTTTCTCTTTGAGGGGCTCTCTGATGATGAAGATGACTTCCACCAGGTAAGCAGCCGGGCTGGGTGAACACTTCTTTTTGGGTTTAATTTGTAGCCCTGAGACTCCCAAGCTCTTTGCTTTCAGTCTGGTGAGCAGCACAAGCTGCTCTGTCTCCCCAGGGGGATGTGGAGACAAACATATTGATCCTGGCTGCTTCCATGCTGCTCAGGAGAGGGTTTTCCTCAGTACTGAACACACAACAGGAAAATGGAACAGAGGAAATGCTCTCACAGCCAAAGTGGAGCGTGGGAATGTTGATCCCTGCCTTTCTGCACTCTTCCTTTCCATAGGACAAAGGGTTCTGTAAGAAAAACTGGATATTTGGGTCCAAACGTAACAGGGAATTGTTTTGTATCACCCTGGTTTGGGGCTGGTGGATGATAGATTGAAAGGTTTCCTGCCAGTTTCCACGGCTGACTCTGTAGGAAAAAGCACATCCCACTCTGGCATGTTTGTCTTCCAGAACTTCCACCCTTGGACATGTGGGTATGGTAGGACAGAGATCTGTGGTTTGACTGGGACACAAACTCCACGAGAGGTCACAGCTGGGGCTTTTCTCTCTCTCCACACAGAGCACGAGGTCCACCCCTTCCAGCAGCACGTCCGGCTCGCGCCCGGCCTCGCTGGGCTACGCGGGGGCGGCGGGGCCGCGGCCCATCACCCAGAGCGAGCTGGCCACGGCCCTGGCCCTGGCCAGCACCCCCGAGAGCAGCTCCCACACACCCACCCCGGGCACACAGGTAACAGCTGGGGCTGGCACAGCTGCCTCTGCTTTCCCTCAGGGATGGGTTCTCTTCGCTTTGATCCTACCCTGGGCACCCAGGGAGCATCCAGCACCGGTCCTGGTCAAGGCTGGCAGAGCTGGTTCTGCATTCCCTCAGGGAAGAGTCCCTGTGTGATCCCAACCCTGGCACACCTGGCTCTGCATTCCCTCAGGGGGAGTTCCCTGTGTGATCCCAGCCCTGACATCCAGGGGACAGCCAGCACCAGTCCTGCTCTGGGCTGGCACACCTGGCTGTGTCTTCCCTCATGCAAATCCATGTGATCCCTATCTGATCCCAGCACCAGGGACAGCCAGCGCATCCTGGATCAGCTCTGGGACACTTTCCTTCCCTCCTGGAGGAGCTCCCTTCCCTGTGGGATGGAGGGTGAGGGGGTGCTGCAGGTGTTGCTCTGTGCTGGTTCCTTCTCCTGATCTGTCACCTCCTCCTAGGGTCACTCCTCGGGGACATCCCCGATGTCATCCAGTGTGCAGTCGGGGACACCCATCACCAACGACCTGTTCAGCCAGGCCCTCCAGCACGCCCTGCAGGCCTCAGGGCAGCCCAGCCTCCAGGTCAGTGGCAGCCCCTGGAATCCTGCATTCCCCTGGGATCTCCCAGCTGCCTCCTGTGGTGGCACATCAGCCTGGGAGGAGCATCACTGATGCCTTTTCGGGCTACCTAAAAGCAGAGGCCAGACAATTAAGGGAATAAAATGCTGTTCTATTTATTGAGGGGCCATTTAGGGCAGATGAAGCCCCCCAGGGGCTGTACCCAAAATGGACCAATGATCACAGGTTTTCACACTTCTATAAATTTGGTCTATTTGCATATTGGGGGTTAAGCTTCCAATTACACCTTCTGGTAATGAAGTCATTTACCCTGAATTTCTATAAACAGAGGCCAGACAGAATTAAGAGAATATAAAGTAGTTATATTTTTGAATAGCCTTCAGGTACATTTGGGACAGATGAAGCCACCCAGGGGCTACATCCAAAATGGACCAATGGTCACAGGTGTTCACACTTCTGTAAATTTGGTCCATTTGCATATTGGGGGTTCATCTTCTAATTAAACCTTTGGGTAATGAAGTAATTTACCCCAAGTTTCTAAAAACAGAGGCCAGACAAAACTAAGAGAACAAAAAGCAGTTATATTTATTGAAGGGCCTTCAGGTACATTTAGAGCAAATAAAGCCCCCAGGGGCTACACCCAAAAATGAACAATGGCTCACAGGTTTTCATACTGCTATAAATTTGGTCCATTTGCATTTTGGGGGTTAATCTTCTTATTAAACCTTTGGGTAATGAAGTTATTTACTCCAAGTTTGCTCCTCCAGTTCACTTTTGTTTACATTTCTGGGGCCTGAGGCAGTGAGGTGTCCTTGATTGCCAGGCCTGGAGAGGAATTGTTGTGTCTGACCAAAATGGGAAAGCAGCAGCTCACGCTGTGTATAGAGTTTAGAATTATACAAAGGATTGCAGGATTACAAATATATGAAAAATATAAAGGCTAAAATCCTAAGGCAGCATCACAGCCACTGCAGAAGAGCTGGGTGGAACTGGGATGAAGGTGTTATAAATGCATATTTTATTGTTGGCTTTTTGCAAATATTAAGATAAATACTGTATGTATTATGTTAAAATAACTTTTATTTCTGCTATTAATAAAAAACTTAGACATAGTAATAGTAGTAGCTAATCTAGTTATAAATGAAATAATTTAATAAATTAACTAATAAATAAGCTAATAGTTTAATCGATATAACATCCAGTAGACCTATAATATACTAACTATCAACATTTACCTTCTGCAGAAAATATAGACTAAAGCCCAGACTAAAAGTAATAAAGCAAAAAAAAAAGCCAAAACCACAACTAAGAAACATGCATACTCTAAAAAAACAAACCCAAAGAAGAGCCATACAAAATAGTTCCTAAAATAGATAAACTAGTTTATAGAAAAATGTAAATATACATAAGAATCTATGAATATCCAAGCTAATGTAATAGAAAAAGTATTTTAAAAATGTCCCTGGAAGTAAGCGTGCTCTTGCCTGAGTGCCATGAAGGTGTGCTCTTGGCTGAGTGCCAATCTTTGCTTTACTGTCTTTATCTCCTATTGTCCTTTATTAAACTTTTAAATTCTACCAAAAAAACAAACCACGTTTTTCACAGAGGGGTGGTGGCTTTGGGGACTTTGCAGCCTCACTGAGCTTTCAGGAGCTGTTTGCACAGCAGCTGAGGTGGGTGAAAAACACGTTCACTCAACTGTGAACATGTAAAAAGTTTAATGAAGGACAGCAGGAGAGAAGGACCACAGAGCAAAGGTTATTGTGGCATCAGCCAAAAGCCCCCTGTTATCTTCAGGGATACCCCTTAAATTCCTTTAATTACATCAGCCCTTTGCATATTCACAGACTCTTATGCAAAACTTATGTAAACTTTTCCCCAAACTCATTTACATGTTCCAAGAATTGTTTAGCACATCTCTTCTTTGGATCTGCTTTTTTAGATCACGTGGATTCCTTGGTTGTGGTTTTAGCCCCTTTTTATCCCCTGCAGTTTTGGGCCTGTCCCTCACTGCCTTCAGAGGGTGAGTGCTGCTGGCTGGCAGATGTGTGCAGGTGTGCTCATCCTGTGTCACTGGGTGCTGTCCCATCCCAGCAGGCTCTGTGACAATCTGGGATCAGCTACTGCACTGAGCTTAATGAGCAACAGAAATGAAATCCATATCTTTATAACAAAGTTACTTGAACACCACACATATAGAATCCATTTTAATATTTGCAAAAAGCCGCTATTATGTGTGTCTATAACAGATGGGACACTGGGCAGTGGGAAGAGCTGCTGGTTTTCCTGCTGGGATTCTCACCCCAAACTTCTGTTTGCTGTGAGCAGAGCCAGTGGCAGCCCCAGCTGCAGCAGCTGCGAGACATGGGGATCCACGACGACGAGCTGAGCCTGCGGGCCCTGCAGGCCACAGGAGGGGACATCCAGGCTGCCCTGGAGCTCATCTTTGCTGGGGGGGCCCCCTAAATCTTCTGCTGGACTGGTGAGTTGTGCTGAGGCAGCAGCCTGGCTGGCTCTGTGTGTGGGGATGCTCCTTGCTCTCCTGTGGGGAGCACTGAGGGCAGCTCCAAATCCTCTCTCCAGCCTCATCAGGACTCAGCATGGAGAAGGGAAGAGGTGGCTCTGTGCTGGGGAAGTGGCCCCCTCCAGTTGTACAATGTTTTATCTGTCAGCACCCTCTGCCTGTTGTTTCATTCCCTGGATTAAAGGGGCCCTGCTCAGTTCCCTGCCTGCTGTGTGGGTCATGCTCTGTCCTGGCTTGTGTTGCAGATTCCAGCAGGGCAGGAAGGGGAAGCATTGCTGGCCAGGGGTCTATGTACAAATCACAAACAGGACAGAACTGCTGGGGAACACGTCTCAAGCTCATTTTCCAGCATCACTCTCATTACATGGTTATGACAATGGGAAGATGCCAGCAGCAGACAAAGCTCTCAGTGTTACAACTCTTAAAAAGTTTTTTGGCCAATCACACAAAGCAAAAGCATATTGGCAGTTGTTCTACCGAGCACTATAAGCACACATACCTTTGGTTAAAACAATGTTTCCTTATTTCACATACAATACCTGCTTGTAAGCATTAAGATACAATGCACAGAGCTCCATTATTAAGCTTAGAACTTCCTCATATCTTGCTAGATATACTTTTCTGTAGCTTAGGAAGTTATTCTAGCCAAGAGTTAATACACAGACCATTGTTCTATTTGTCCTTACTTTCTACTTCTTATATAACTTTTCTGCTGACAAATCTTATGGCTCTATTTGCAGTTGGCTCACTTAGCTCTAATTACAGTTCTGCTGTTTCTGAGGCCTGCCTTTTGCAGCTTTCCCAAAACCCTCAGATTTTAAGGATTCCCACAAGTGGAACTGCAGAAAAAGCTCTGCCTCGGTGGGAAGTGGTGCTTTCAGCAGAGGGCACGGCCACCGCGAGGTGACAGTGACCAAGAAATGACAAGGGCTGAGTGAGAGCTGGAGAAATGCCCGGTGTGGGTTCCACCACGTGCCGCGGCTGCAAAGCCAATTAACGGCGTTTGCCTGTAATTGCAATCAGTGGGAGCAGCGAAAAGCCAGGCCTGGAGCTGGGCCCGGCATCGCTCGGATTGCGCTGGGGTTAACGAGGCGTGAAAACGGCAGCGGGTTCTCGGAGCAGAGAGCGCTCTCCTGCTTCACCTCCAGGCTGCTGCGCTGCCCTCTAATCCCTCTGTGATCCTCGCTGATAGCATCTCGGTGTCACCCAGCAAACCGGGATTGTTCTCTGCGGGACCCCTGCGCTGATAGGCTTTAATCCTGTCGAGAGGATTAATGCCCCGAGGGAGGGAGGGAAGGAGGGGCTGGTTTTGTGCTCAGTCTGGAGCAGATAAGATGTGATGGACACAAATGGCTTTCCTGACACCCTCCCGGCTCTCTGCTGTCCGCACGCACACGGATTTTGTGTGTAAGGAAACTGATTAATCCCTTCCCATCCCTGGATCCCTTTGCAGGGGCAGGACAGAGCACATGCACAGCCCTCCCTTCCCCAGAGCCTTGCTGGCAGCCCCAATCCTCCGGGATAACCACGGATTAGCCGGATCACAGATGCTCCTGCCCAAAGCTGGGAAGCATTTGCAGGCTCTCCCGGCCACCAGCACGTCCAGTTTGCCTTCCTGCACCACCTGATTTCTCAGTTTAGGGCTCAAACTGGACCAGCACGTCCAGTTTGCCTTCCTGCACCACATGAATTCTCAATTTCAGGCTCATTGCTGTCCCAAAAACGGTGTTTTTTGTGTCACTCGGGATATTTGATCCCTCCGTTGACCCACGTTTGGCATGAAGCCGTTTTCGCTGCTATTTCTGCTTCCCAACGCCCCCAGCGAGCTGAGAACTGCCTGGATTTTTTGGGTTTTTTTGGGCTGGAAGTGACTTTTCCCAGATTTCCTTTCCCAAGCAGCAGGACTTGGCTGGGAGCAGCAGCTCAGGCACATGCAGTGGCTGCAGCAGAGGAGAAGTTGGCAGCGCTGCCGCTCACGACATCGCTTCCCTCGCCCGGCGGAGCCGTGCCTGAGCACAGGGGGAGCTGCGGGGAGGGGGAGAGGCTCTTAGAATCCATTTTAATATTTGCAAAAAGCCGATATTATGTGTGTCTATAACAGATGGGACACTGGGCAGTGGGAAGAGCTGCTGGTTTTCCTGCTGGGATTCTCACCCCAAACTTCTCCTGTTTGCTGTGAGCAGAGCCAGTGGCAGCCCCAGCTGCAGCAGCTGCGAGACATGGGGATCCACGACGACGAGCTGAGCCTGCGGGCCCTGCAGGCCACAGGAGGGGACATCCAGGCTGCCCTGGAGCTCATCTTTGCTGGGGGGGCCCCCTAAATCTTCTGCTGGACTGGTGAGTTGTGCTGAGGCAGCAGCCTGGCTGGCTCTGTGTGTGGGGATGCTCCTTGCTCTCCTGTGGGGAGCACTGAGGGCAGCTCCAAATCCTCTCTCCAGCCTCATCAGGACTCAGCATGGAGAAGGGAAGAGGTGGCTCTGTGCTGGGGAAGTGGCCCCCTCCAGTTGTACAATGTTTTATCTGTCAGCACCCTCTGCCTGTTGTTTCATTCCCTGGATTAAAGGGGCCCTGCTCAGTTCCCTGCCTGCTGTGTGGGTCATGCTCTGTCCTGGCTTGTGTTGCAGATTCCAGCAGGGCAGGAAGGGGAAGCATTGCTGGCCAGGGGTCTATGTACAAATCACAAACAGGACAGAACTGCTGGGGAACACGTCTCAAGCTCATTTTCCAGCATCACTCTCATTACATGGTTATGACAATGGGAAGATGCCAGCAGCAGACAAAGCTCTCAGTGTTACAACTCTTAAAAAGTTTTTTGGCCAATCACACAAAGCAAAAGCATATTGGCAGTTGTTCTACCGAGCACTATAAGCACACATACCTTTGGTTAAAACAATGTCTCCTTATTTCAGATACAATACCTGCTTGTAAGCTTTAAGATACAATGCACAGAGCTCCATTATTAAGCTTAGAACTTCCTCATATCTTGCTAGATATACTTTTCTGTAGCTTAGGAAGTTATTCTAGCCAAGAGTTAATACACAGACCATTGTTCTATTTGTCCTTACTTTCTACTTCTTATATAACTTTTCTGCTGACAAATCTTATGGCTCTATTTGCAGTTGGCTCACTTAGCTCTAATTACAGTTCTGCTGTTTCTGAGGCCTGCCTTTTGCAGCTTTCCCAAAACCCTCAGATTTTAAGGATTCCCACAAGTGGAACTGCAGAAAAAGCTCTGCCTCGGTGGGAAGTGGTGCTTTCAGCAGAGGGCACGGCCACCGCGAGGTGACAGTGACCAAGAAATGACAAGGGCTGAGTGAGAGCTGGAGAAATGCCCGGTGTGGGTTCCACCACGTGCCGCGGCTGCAAAGCCAATTAACGGCGTTTGCCTGTAATTGCAATCAGTGGGAGCAGCGAAAAGCCAGGCCTGGAGCTGGGCCCGGCATCGCTCGGATTGCGCTGGGGTTAACGAGGCGTGAAAACGGCAGCGGGTTCTCGGAGCAGAGAGCGCTCTCCTGCTTCACCTCCAGGCTGCTGCGCTGCCCTCTAATCCCTCTGTGATCCTCGCTGATAGCATCTCGGTGTCACCCAGCAAACCGGGATTGTTCTCTGCGGGACCCCTGCGCTGATAGGCTTTAATCCTGTCGAGAGGATTAATGCCCCGAGGGAGGGAGGGAAGGAGGGGCTGGTTTTGTGCTCAGTCTGGAGCAGATAAGATGTGATGGACACAAATGGCTTTCCTGACACCCTCCCGGCTCTCTGCTGTCCGCACGCACACGGATTTTGTGTGTAAGGAAACTGATTAATCCCTTCCCATCCCTGGATCCCTTTGCAGGGGCAGGACAGAGCACATGCACAGCCCTCCCTTCCCCAGAGCCTTGCTGGCAGCCCCAATCCTCCGGGATAACCACGGATTAGCCGGATCACAGATGCTCCTGCCCAAAGCTGGGAAGCATTTGCAGGCTCTCCCGGCCACCAGCACGTCCAGTTTGCCTTCCTGCACCACCTGATTTCTCAGTTTAGGGCTCAAACTGGACCAGCACGTCCAGTTTGCCTTCCTGCACCACATGAATTCTCAATTTCAGGCTCATTGCTGTCCCAAAAACGGTGTTTTTTGTGTCACTCGGGATATTTGATCCCTCCGTTGACCCACGTTTGGCATGAAGCCGTTTTCGCTGCTATTTCTGCTTCCCAACGCCCCCAGCGAGCTGAGAACTGCCTGGATTTTTTGGGTTTTTTTGGGCTGGAAGTGACTTTTCCCAGATTTCCTTTCCCAAGCAGCAGGACTTGGCTGGGAGCAGCAGCTCAGGCACATGCAGTGGCTGCAGCAGAGGAGAAGTTGGCAGCGCTGCCGCTCACGACATCGCTTCCCTCGCCCGGCGGAGCGTGCCTGAGCACAAGGGGAGCTGCGGGGAGGGGGAGAGGCTCTGCTGCCTCCTGCACGGCTGGGCAGCGACCGGAGCTCTGCTGCAGCAGCTCCTGCAGCAGCTCCTGCAGCACACGGGGAGCTCGGAGGGGGCTGGGAGTGGTTCTGCAGCCACCCCAGTGCTGCATGTTCCCGCTCCCAGCCTCACGTGGGAAGGATGCTCAGGGGCTCTGCAAGGGCAGGAGCAGCAGAACAGCAGGGAAAGGCTTGAAAGGACAGGGTTAGGTTGGGTACCAGGGAGGAATTGATCCCTCTGAGGGTGGGCAGGCCCTGGTACAGGTGCCTGCTGTGCTGCCCCTGGATCCCTGGCCTGGTGGGAGGTGTCCCTGCCCATGGCAGGGGTGGAATGGGGTGGCTTTAGGGTCCTTGTCACTAATTGTGAGTGGCTGAGACAGAGCAAACTGATGCCTGTTCCTTGTGCTCCATCCCTGGAGGTGCCCTGGCAGCTTCCCCTGCCGTGTTGGGAGCAGAGTGCTCTGCTTGGCTCTCAGTTCATCCCTCTCCTGCCCCTCTCTATTCTCCAGCCCAGCAGCCCTGGCTGGGCTTTACTGGGAGCAGACTGGGAAGTAGGTGTTGTCTGACCCTGGAAGAGCAGGAGGTCAGGCCACGGTTCCCCAACGTCAGCAGGAACCTTCTGTTTGTGACATCAAAGAGCTGTTCTTGGTCTGCTTCCCTGCTGGCCTGGCTGGGGCTGCCAGGGGAAGCTGGGACAGCAGGGATGGATGGGAGCAGCTGCTTTTCCTCCCCTGTTTTCCATAATCCTGTTTTTCATCCCTCTGCTGGACACCTGGAGGGGGTGGAGGTTTGGCTGAGCCCTGCACCATGTGTTATCTGGAGCCCTTCTTCTCCTTGTCTCTCTCATTTTGGGCTGATTTGTCTCTGCTGGTTAATTTTCCAGCAAAAAGGTGGAGAGGAGGCAGAGCAGAATCTCCCAGATGGCTTTTGCAGCGCCTCAACCAATGCTAGACAGATTTCCATGGGATAATGTTGGCTCCTTGCTCCCCCAGCCTGACTGTTCCCAGTTTGTCCCAGTCACACCTTGCCCTGAGCACATAAATTCCAGAAAATCAGTGAAGGTGACTTTCTCTGATTCTCCAGCATTTGTTGGGCAGGTACATCCAGCAGGAGCAGCAGCAGGAATTTGTCTGGCACAGCCTTTGCCAATCAACTTTCGTTTTTGTGGAGGTTTCCTGGCTGCTTCCAGCTTTGTCCTTGTAGGAAAGGCCAAAACACATCAAAAATTTGGGTTTTTCTTCCTTTCCCAGCTCCATGTTGGTTCAGTGAGGGGACAAAATACGAGGATATTTGGCAATAAGGACATTTTGGTTTTACTCTTTCTCAGGGAAACTTTGGAGAAAGGAGCAAAGTTCTGATTTTGGGACAGCTGATGAGGTGAGAGCATGGAGACAGGGCAGGTGACACATCCCAGTGACCTGTGTCCTGTGGGGTTTGCTCCCTTGCCTGCAATGAATCACCATTTTCCTGTTAGAAGTGACAAAAAAGGAGCTCTGATTTCAGCCCTCAAAGCTCCCTTTTAAGGTTACAGAGTTGAGAGGCCCCACGTGATCCACAATAAAAACCAGGCAACTATTTTAATTTGGTGAAAGCAGAAATGGGCTGAAAATGTCACCCTGTGAGAATATTTCTATTTCCTTATGTTCCCTTTTATATTTATAGTGTTCTAATATTCATAAACGTGTCCCAAAATCCCTTTGAGAGGCTTTTTTTCCCCCCCCCAATCTCTGAAATAGATGCTGATTTAAGAGCAGGGTCTGCTGGTTCAGCAGGGATGAATTAATTCAGGGGTTGCGTTGGAGCTGTGGGGTTCCACTCCAGGAGCCATAAAAGCATCAGAGGGGATCCAGAATTCCTTTTTTTCCTGCAAGGGCCAAGAACAGAGACTGGAGCAAAACTTTGGAGCAGGGTGAGCAGAGAAAACCCATTTCTAAGAGATTTCCCAGTATCTGGCTGTCAGAGGCTGGGGCACTTTCAGAGCTGAGTGTTGGGAGCAGACCCCACATGAGGTTTGTCCTTAAACTGGTCAATCTGTGGCCTCTCTGTCACCCTGGGGGTGGCCTCAGGTGCCAAGGCTGTCCAGCAGCTGGACAGGGAAAGCTGTGGGGCATGTCCTGGGTCCCAGGAAAGCTTTGAGGGCTCCTTTTGGGGTGCACTGGGGCAGCAGGAGGTGACACAGGCAGGGCAGCCAGCAAAGACATTGTCCTCCAATGTCACTGGGGCAGGAGGACATGACAAGGATGGGGCAGCCAGCAAGGACTTTGTCACCTGATGTCACTGGGGCAGGAGGACATGACAAGGATGGGGCAGCCAGCAAAGACTGTCACCTGATGTCACTGGGACAGGAGGACATGACAAGGATGGGGCAGCCACCAAGGACTTTGTCACCTGATGTCACCTGTTTTCCATAATCCTGTTTTTCATCCCTCTGCTGGACACCTGGAGGGGGTGGAGGTTTGGCTGAGCCCTGCACCATGTGTTATCTGGAGCCCTTCTTCTCCTTGTCTCTCTCATTTTGGGCTGATTTGTCTCTGCTGGTTAATTTTCCAGCAAAAAGGTGGAGAGGAGGCAGAGCAGAATCTCCCAGATGGCTTTTGCAGCGCCTCAACCAATGCTAGACAGATTTCCATGGGATAATGTTGGCTCCTTGCTCCCCCAGCCTGACTGTTCCCAGTTTGTCCCAGTCACACCTTGCCCTGAGCACATAAATTCCAGAAAATCAGTGAAGGTGACTTTCCCTGATTCTCCAGCATTTGTTGGGCAGGTACATCCAGCAGGAGCAGCAGCAGGAATTTGTCTGGCACAGCCTTTGCCAATCAACTTTCTTTTTTGCGGAGGTTTCCTGGCTGCTTCCAGCTTTGTCCTTGTAGGAAAGGCCAAAACACATCAAAAATTTGAGTTTTTCTTCCTTTCCCAGCTCCATGTTGGTTCAGTGAGGGGACAAAATAAGAGGATATTTGGCAATAAGGACATTTTGGTTTTACTCTTTCTCAGGGAAACTTTGGAGAAAGGAGCAAAGTTCTGATTTTGGGACAGCTGATGAGGTGAGAGCATGGAGACAGGGCAGGTGACACATCCCAGTGACCTGTGTCCTGTGGGGTTTGCTCCCTTGCCTGCAATGAATCACCATTTTCCTGTTAGAAGT